GGATATAGAATTGATTGTATCAAATCAATTATATTTGGGACAATATCTAATTCAGCATCAGCAGAGGAAGCATTCATTTAACAAACTTGTGATGTGAAATTATTACTGTTTATTTCTATTTTTATGATAAAATAGAACCAGGGCAAAATTATAAATAGGCTAACAAGGAATTCACAAGTCTGACTTTGGTCAATCTATGTTGGGACTGGTTAGACCAGTCCAAAACATTGAGTCAAAATGAAGGCCCAGGTACTATCACACTTTTCCATCTTGCCCAGAAAAGGCCACAGTCGCCCAATAACTACTGGTTTTTCTTTTCTGGTTCAACTTCGTTCAAATCTACTTAGCTACAAAATTGCCATAAGCTTTCCTATGCTGCCACCTAATGGACACAATGAGTATAGTTTTGAATAAAGCTTTCATCTTCTATTACTGTTTGATGTGAAATAGAGAATTCAGGTGTTAGCCACTCAATTTGGACTTAAATATCCAAATATTGGATATTTAAATGTTGTTGCCTCTAATGACTAGAAATATCTTAATGTCAACCAAAGCAAACAGCCCTATGACTCTCCATTTTCAAAACACCTCTCTGTCCTTAGAAAGTTATACTTTAAAGCCATGATTTGCTTCTTAAAAATCAGGCCCCAACAAGGTAAATACACTTATATTGTTCATGTCTTGATATGAATCAGAATGTACCCCTCTCACAAAGAAAGAGGCACTGATGGACTGGGAGCCATGGATTAGGGTAACTTTTAGGAAAAGTTGTTTTGGAAATGGGACCTTATCTCAGAAAATGAGGCCTGGTTTTGCAGTGAGCAGGAAAGGACACATAGGTACCTTGAAATGCAAAGAAGATAGATGATGATAAAAACAAAAACAATAGTATATATTATGTTTCAGGCACATCCCTAAGAACTTCACAAATATTCTCATGTGGGTCTCACAATAACTCTTTAAGGCAGATACTCAATCCACTTACAGATGAAGAAATCAGGCTTTAGAGAGTTATGTTGGTTGAGGCACCCAGCTGGTAAGGCGTGGAGCTGATAGGCATAGCCCCAGGAAAGCACAGACAAGCAGAGCTGTCAGGAGCTGGAGCCAAAGCTGCAGGCTGGGTTAACATCATTGGTGTTAGTTAATAAATCACAGCCAACAGGAGTCTAATAAGACATGATGACCACATGTAATGTGGTATCCTAAATGGGACTCTGGAACAGAAAAAGGAGATTAGGTAAAAACTAAAGAAATATGAAAAAGTATAAACTTTTGTTAATAATAATGTATTCAAAGTTAGTTCATTGATTTGATAAATGTACCATGCTAAGATAAGATATTTTTTAAAATCCTGCCTTTTAGAGAATGATTAACACTATGGAAAGTATCTGATTCCTAAGTAAGTTAGGAGACACATTCACTAACATGTTTGTGAATAAGGTTAAGAATATTGACTGCAAACATGACCGGGAAAAGGAAAACATCAAGTGACTTTGATTGTCCATATCCAGATGTTTTGTACTAGGAAGGAACTTTATCCAAACTATTTCTTCTGCTGAGACTTCTCTATTTCTCCTCCACTGTTCATTAAGATTCAGACACACATACATTCCTCAACTCTACTTACACTTACATTACTCAAGGTGAGCTCACTATATCCTAAGCTCTGTGTGCCTTATCTTAGCTTGATCCTCATAATCCTGTAGGAGAGGCCTCATCATTCTCATTCTGCAGGATTGTACCAGACAGCCTGACTACATAGGCCATTCAGAGCAGCCCTCTCAACTGCTATGCCAAACCACACCTTGTTCCTTAGTGAATTTCAAGCCAAAAAATCAAACAGGTGAATAACTTAATGCTATTATACAAATAAATTCATAAGATCACATCATTCAAGGGACAAAAGAAGTAACTGCCAAATTAGCACATCATTATTTAACATTGTAGGGTGTGCAGGAAAAAGAACATGTTCCAAATAAGTTGAGGCTTAAGAGAACATAAAGATGATTATTTAAAGTTCTAAAATAGCCTTACAATGGAGTCTGTTGAAAGAGAATGAAACCCATAAAAGATAGAAGTTGCACTGACTTATGTTATAAATTGAAGAAACTTCAAAAGTAAGCTAGAATTAACCAGCAGGAGCTAATTATAGAATTCTCAGTCCTAGGTGAAAAACTTATACTTTATTATAAAAGTAATACAGTAATTTTGGAAAGCTTAGAAAATGAGAATATATAAAATTAAAATCACTTATAATCTCAATGCTCAGAGACAAGAGCAGACCCATTTTTTCGAGAAATAGCAAATTTCAAAAGGACACACAAGTCAGGATGTTGGAAGGGGCCATTAAAGTGTGGGGCCTTAAAGCTTAAACTTTGTTCAACATAAGTTAGGTCCACCTCTGCCCAGCAATAATCATTATTGTGGGCTCTTACAGCCAGTCCATTTGGGTTTGAAACTCAGCAACATCCTTAACTAGCCATAACCATAGGCAAGTTGCTTGAGCTTCATTGTGCCTTAGTTTTCTATCTGAAAAATGGGAATATCAGTTTCATATGTTAAGTTCAGCTTAGAATATAGTAAACATTTAGCTATTATGGCCCTGTCTTTTCTAGACACATATGTATACACATTTTACAAAACTATCTCACTAGTTTCATGAGTGAACATTTTCCCATGTTCTTGGGTCTATAGGACAGACCAAGTATTATACTAAATAGATGTAAAACTAGACTTCTCAATTGGACACTGTGGTTAAAAAGGGAGGATCCTTAGCATCAGGTGGCTTTGCCTGTTCAAAGCACTGCAAAATCACCTTCACTGCAAAAGACGAGTAACATTTTAAAGAATAAGCAACTGGACATAGATCTTTGATAAATCCAAGATGTCAGTGAAGAGGACTTGTTGGGGAAACAAGGACCTCTGAGTTGCACAAGTCCAGGGGGTACTGGACTGTACATGGCTGAGGCCTTACAAGAACAGTGGGAAAGATATTGGTACTAGATCTAACCTTCTAGAAGCCAGGCCCTTCCCAGACATCTTCACCTGTTGTGTCTATTTTAACATAAATGAAGATGTGGGAGAGGGTTATTCCTTTGCTCAGTTACTGAGAGGCAGAAGTGGAGGTCAAAGACAAGTTTAATCCCAACCTAGGCTAGCTACCTTTAGGAAGTCAGTCCATGATCTATGTCCTGGTTTCCTAGTTATTAACAGTGAGAACCTGGGCATGTTACCCAAAACTCTGTGCCCATTTCCTCAGTAAAACTGAAATTTCTCTGCACCTCTCGCTGATGATCACCCACAGACATCGGCTATTGTGTAACCTTCCATGGTGTGGCAAGATACAGTATGAGTTTGGAAGATGTATAATAAATATGCTTCTTACACATAAAGTATAAAGTCTTATAAACTAAACCCCTAAATGTCACTGTATTTCTGATGCCAAAATCAATCGTTTTACCAGCTCCTATTAGAAGAAAGAGGCCTTGTTTTATCCTTTCCCCAAAGTCAATCTTCAAAGTAATTGTATAGAAGTTATACACCAAGTTAGAACTGAAAATGCACTCCTCTAGCTTCAACTCTAAGCAATTAGAATCAACTGAATCACTATGTATTTAGTTTTCCAAATAAAAAGAATGTTAACAGTAGTTATTACTTTCCTCCTAGGATCCAATATATCCTTCACCTAGAAGCTGGAATCACAGGTACTATCACCTAATCTGAGCTCAAAACTTTAAGACGGCTGAAACCAAAGTTATCTGGACTGCTGACAACAGGATGATAAAGCTCTTCCATGACAATCACAGTAAGAGCAGGGAGAAACATGGGATCCCTTTCTCACTGCTCTTAATTCCTGTTAACTAGAAAGGACCTGTTAAAATATCAAATGTTGAGAACGAATGGTAATTTTTAATGCAAGCCTATACATTATATGTGTACTTATCCACAAAATAGAAAGGCTTAACAACAAATGGAAAAGATATATTTTTTTTAAATTTCCATAAAGCAAAGAATTGCTGGAAACAAAACAAAACAAAACCTGCATTGATTGGGGTATGTCGAATGGACACAGGAGCTACTGAAAGGAACAATTTGAGCAACAAAATGTTGTATTGGATTATAACCCAGGATATAAAATATCCATGAGTTCATACTAATATAAATGATTGAATAAACAGCAAATGAGACAAATCTCCCTTGCAAAAGAATTGCAAATAATTCAGAGATACTCTACTCACAAAGAAATAGAGCAAAATTCAACTCCCTGGAGTGTGGGCTGTGCATAGACAACCTCCCAATGAGCAAAGGTGTGGTGGGAAAAGCAGCTTTATAGTAGAGAAATTTAACAAACATCCCCTCAGCCATGTGATCAAGGTGAATCACGTCACTAATATGTACCCTTTATATATGATGAAAATGGCACTTTACCTCTGTGGTCTTCCTCCTCCAAAACCCATAACCCTAGACTAATTATGAGAAAAGCATTAGACAAATCCCAATAGAGGGGCATTCTACTTGATGCAATTACTTGATCAGTACCCCTCAAAACTGTTGAGGTCATCCAAAACATGGAAAGCCTGAGAAATTATCTCAGTCAAGAGGAAACTGAGACATGACAAATAAATGTAATATGGTAGAAGAGGACATCAAATTAAGGGAATTTGAATAAGTTATGGACTTGTCAATAGTAATATATTTTTCATTAATTATAACAAACACATCACACTAATGTAACAATAGGAGAAATGGATGAAGGGTTTATGGGAACTCTAGTATCTTCTCGATTTTTCTATAAATCTAAAATTGTTCCACAAATTTTTTTAAAAGTCTACAGGTACACATGAATGTATAGAAAAAAATCTAGAGACACTAAATATTTTTATGGTAATTTTATCTTTGCTGTATGAGTTACTTATATGGGAGACATATTACTATCAAAATAACTGAAGATACATTGGAGAGAAGGTAAAATTGAAAATAAAAACCAGTTTAGGCTTAACTTTTATCAGCAGAAAAGTTTTATTCCTTCTAAGGACAACTGACACCACATCCAAGGCCTTAAGTTACAGACACAAACCAAAGTAGCCATTAGCTATTGAGGTACAAGACATACAATGGGGGAAATGCTTCGCCATCTGAAGCATACACTGAACTTTGCTCAATTGACAGCTGAGCTCTGCTATCTGCTTGCGCTTGGGTGTGGCTGGGGGTAAGAGCGTATCTGCAGAACCAAAGAACAGCTGTGTTCTACAAGTACTGAAGCATTTTAAGACTGCATTGGTAGGGATATATTTTCATGGTGAAGGGAAGAGGGGAACAAAGCTTAATCCCTTCCCACATAACATTAGGCAGCCTTACAGAGAGCCACAGCAGAAAAGCGAACTTCCCCTTGCTCACGCTCAGTGAATTCTCTGCAGACCTTGGCGGCATCCTGAAAAGGAGGAAGGTCATTAATATCCAAAAGGCAAAAGCTCAAAATGAAAGTTTCAAAGGAAAAGTACCAGTAAGGCTTATTAATGCTCAAAGTCCACCCCGGATCAACTTTAAAGTTCCCATTAAACTTGAAAACCAGGGCTTAAGGTGAGAGAGAAAACAATCATGTGATGGGAAAGACATGGACCCACATCACAGATTTGACTCCAGAAGCTTTGACTCCAAATGTCCTGTGCTTCTCCTGCCTTGTGCTTGGTTTTGACAAAACTATATCATCAATGCTCTTTTCCTCAAATTGAAACAAAATGAAAACTGATCTCTCTTCCACAGGGCAAAAGTTCTCTAAACTCAAATTCTCAGAGTAGAGACAAATTTCTTTTAAGGAAACATTTCACAAAACAGCCTTAAAATTTTAAATATTTGGTATTACAGGTACAGACAAGTGATGGTTTCGTAGATATTTTTGAAGTGACATGTGTTAACGAATTCTAAGACCTAGATTACAAAGACTGGTAACAGAAAACTGATTCCAATACAGGCATACCTCTTTTTTATTGCATTTCATTTTATTGCACTGCACAGATTTTGCATTTTTTACAAATTAAAGGCAAGATTCTCTACCAGCAAAAAGATTGCAACTTGCTTTACTGCAATACTCTTTATTGAAGAGGTCTGGAACCAAACCTGCAATATCTCCAAGGTATATCTGCATTAGTTATTTACCAAATTCTAGGTTTAAAAGCCTCGGGATCATAAAAATCACTCTGTTCAATTTGCAAAAAGTCCAGTGGAAAGATAGCTCCACAAACCACAATAATTATAAGGCCTTTAAGAGGACAGGGAGTACTCTATGACACAACTGTCATGCTCCCAAAGTCTACAAATCACCAACTCGATAATGAGTGTGGCCCTTAAAGCATCAACCATACCACAGTTTCATTCCTGC